GATTTCTGCCGAGGATTTCTGTTCGTTATTAGTAGCTATCGGTCAGAAAGGCACGTTTTACGCAATAATGATTGCAGCAATATTTTCACACACCCCAGTATTTTTTTTCTGAATTTTTAACAAATTAAGAATTTTTAGTGTGCATTATTTTATTGATATTTCCTTTTTATTGATTATTGCAGTCTAGTTTGGGAAAATTGCAGCAATTACTTGCACGACAAGATGCAAAAAAATGCATAATAGAGCAGCAAGAATAATTACTGGCAAATCATATGAAATACGAACAAGTGAATTGCTAAAAGAGCTTAATTGGCAAACACTTGAGGAAAGAAGGGAGAGCTGGAGATTCACACACTGCAAAAAATCCACTTTTCAATTTGAGTCAAATTACTCATTTTGCGAGCAAAGTCACTCACAATTTGAGTAATTGGCATGTTTTACTCAGCGGTTGAGTAACTCTACCTTGAAACGTGAGTAAAATTGTCTTTATCTGCAGTAGGTGAGTCATTTGACTCGGCCGGAGTGAGTAAATTTACTGAATTTGTGAGTAAAATTACTCATACAGCGAGTAAAATTGCAAATTCATTTTACTCTGACGCTTCCTGAGTAAACCTACTCAAAATTTTGAGTAAAACATCATCTTTACTCAAAGACTGAGTAAACCAAATTATCATTACTCAGATATCGAGTAACATTACTCATGGATTGAGTAAGAATATACCAATTTACTCATCGTTTGAGTAAAGTGAATTAGCTTTACTCAAGCTTGAGTAAAAACATAGTAAATATTCGTTGTTAGTAATTCTACTCAGAAACGTGAGTAAAATTGTCTTGATGGGCAATAGGCGAGTCATTTGACTCGAGCGGAAGGAGTAAATGTACACCATTTGTGAGTAAAATTACTCATCCATTGAGTAAAATTGTAAATTCATTTTACTCTGGACGCTTCTTCAGTAAACCTACTCAAAAGTTTGAGTAAAACATCGTCTTTACTCAAAGACTGAGTAAACCAAATTATCATTACTCAGATGTCGAGTGACGTAAACTAACATTACTCATGGATTGAGTAAGAATATACCAATTTACTCATCGTTTGAGTGAAGTAAATTAGCCTTACTCAAGCTTGAATAAAAGTATAGTAAATACTCATTGGATTGAGTAGAGTCAGTTAGCTTTACTCAAGTCTGAGTAAAGAGGTAAGAATTTACTCATCATTTAGCAGAGTATATACTGTAGATTAACTTTACACAAACTTGAGTAAAATATAACAATTGACTCGTCGTTTATACACAAAGTGAAGTAGCTTTACTCGAGCCCGAGTAAAAGCGTAACAATTTTACTCATGATTTGAGTAAAGTTACTGTAATTATATAGCTTTGCACAAACTTGAGTAAAATAAAACAGTTTACTCGTCGCTTGAGTAAAGGCAACAATGTAGCTTTACTCAAACCTGAGTAAAAATATAAAAAATACTAAAGTCATGCCATAAATATAAATGTAACAATCAAGCACGAGAAAAATTATACATCCAATTTTTTGACCAATTACAACAGTAATCAGTACAGTAATTAACACTCATCTGAAACAATGAGTGGATAGAGCATCCTATATATTGTGATGAAATGAATGAGCCAATTTTGAAACAGAATATATTTTCAACGTGAACAGATTTTTAAATCTGTCAAATTCTTGACTATATATAGTCAAATTGTTATTCGTTAGCTGTTTACATTACTATGAATATGAAGCAAATATATATTTTTATATGAAACTTGCGAAATATAGGTTCCAACATCTGAGGGTCAGGTCATGACGGCCATATTGTGTGGGAAGAGATGCGACACTTACAATCGGTATACTAATTATACAAATATATATATTACCATATCATTTTATTGTTACAACTTTGTCTGTTTCAAGACTTGTATTCGCCTAGCAACGTTCTGTTAAAACCCCGTTAAATACTACAATGTTTGGTATTGTTGGATGATGTCTAAAGATGATGTATCCGGTTTGACTCATGAGTATATAATTATATAGGTATATTCCCAAATTTATTCTAATTTATTGCATACAATCAATCCTATAACGAAGGATAACAAATGTCTTGCCTGCATTCGTGCCAAATCCTTGATGGGTTGCAAGTGGGTGAAAATCTGCTAGCTTTTCATGAAGGATCAAGCCCTCATTCACATCTTCTTCCATTACATCATATGCATTCAAATGGTCGACGTATTGAACAACAAGTAATCTGCTATACTTAAAAATAACAACGCTGTTATCAATCACTATGATTTGCATGACCTTTCCAAATACTGGCTCCGAGTGCTCTAACTCGATAACGATCACACATCCCACTGCATATCTCGTCCCATTGAATCTTATCCACGGACATCTGGATAAAAACACAAACGTCGAATAATGTAATTCAGGTTCGAGGTTTTGGAGTTGTACTAATTTCAACACGATTGTGCACAACCATGCAGGACAAATATAAAACTACTAAGTTTTTTACATCATGTATTATATATAGAGAATATTCAAGTCATTTGTTTCAATACAAGACGACGCGGCCTTCAAAGTTTTGCGTATATAACACAAACGACGACCTTGATATAGTTTTCCACGAAAATGATCACATCAAAAAAGCCTGCATACTTACATGGAGAGCGACGATTGTGCTGCAATTCCACAATGCAAGGTGATCAAAGTGTCACATACAGATGAAGATTCCACCAATGTACTTTGTGCTGTAAATTAGAAACACATGCACACAAAGGATGTTATTATACTTTACAAATACAGGATATACTATATATGTTAAAGTATGTTACAGGGTATATGTTACAGTATATGTTTGAAGAAGTTAATTGCTATAATAATAGCCTTTATATCTCATTTGCGTCGGTTTTGTTTGTTCGTCCGAGGTTTATAACTAGCTTATATACCTTGAATAAATGATTAGATGAAACTTGTAGACAAAACGCGAGAATTTTTCATTAAAAATTTTTGAAAATGACAAAATATGTTGGAAAGCCTCCGCAAATGAGATATTATAAGTTAGTTATAAACCTCGAAAGTCGGTTTATAACTGATATATTGCCCTCGGACGCTACGCGTCCTCGGGGTCAATATATCAGTTATAAACCTCCTACTCGGTTTATAACTCTAACATATAGTAAAAAATTAGGTGCTACTCTACGATAAATTTAACATACCCGGTCCATGTTCAAGTAGCGGTTTGGTTAACGACCCCGGTTTTCCTTGAAGTAGGTATGCTTGTAGAGCTTGGTGGCGTCTAGCTAATGACAGATCAATATTTTTGAAGTTATTCACAATCCCAGCAACGTTCTTGAAATAACTGTGTTTGGCTTCAAACCTCATTGCCCAATTTCGTACCAAAGGTCCTCTCCTATATACAAAATAGATGAACTGAAACCTTCCAGTTGCATACAAATTATTGGATACTGTTTACAGTTATAGGGTGCAATCACGACAACGGTAAATTGTAACATCCCATAACGCACCATCGAGTATAGGTATTTGTCAAAAAATACTTTACTGCAATCAAGTATGGACTGTGTGGTATGTTTCAGTCATTTTATTAACCACAGGATAGTCTATATACAGTAGCATGGGCAAGAATAGTTAACCATAATTCAATAATTCTGAAACTTATCAACTAAAAAAACTAAAATTTCTGGCTATTTTGCATGTCTCATGGTTTCACACTGTTGTTTCTAATTCCAGAAAACCATTACCTTAATATTTGTCTGGGGTAATGGACCATGTAGTGCTGCTTAGGAATAATTGTTCTATCATATAGATCAGCGAATGTCTCCAAGTATTCCTGGACCAAAATACCAAGATAGGAAGCCAGCTCTGCGCTTAGTTTAGGTGCAAAAACGATTTCTTCAATTTGGAGTAATCGCAAGAAATTCTCCCAATTCTTATCACCATGTGGTACTATGTCACCGACCAACAATGGAAACATTCGAGCTAGGCACCACATCTGAGACGCTTTATACATAAAAAGAAATCGTGTCATATAGCTATTTAAAATCTTTGCTTGCATATGACATATCTTTCCATGCATACGATATCGTCTTGGACATCCGCGTATGAACATATGTACAGTATATAGGCACAATATACCTGTTTGACTTATTGATGCTGAATTGGATGAGAACACTTGATCTTTCAAGGGACTAGGTTTATTTGTTGCATCAGCTAAGCCATAGTCAAATGAAGCAATCCTCTCGTTTATGGTTGTTAGCGTGACCATTTTGTCGGATTGAATATACTTAAACAGCAACATTTTCAGTTCTAAAGGGAGAACACCTTCCAATTGGTCATGCATTGGATCCAAGTCAAGACCATCAACGACATGAAAGAATTTAGACTGATTTAATATCGAATCTCTTTTGACACCATACACGCTTGAAAAGGATGGATTGTTTTCGACTAAATTACAATGCCTTTTGTGACCTTTACAGTATATTAATTACAGTAACTATAATTAATCACAATACAATAGACTACACTATGATTGTCACAATTAACCCTACACAGTCATCATTTTAACCTATGACCTACACACTCATCATATCAACGTTACCAGTGTCACCGAGGATTTTGTCTCATTAAGATGTACCCCTCACGCATTACAAACCCACTGGCAGATATGGTCCTTAAGTTTAATATAGTCACTAGACTCTGCTGTGATACACACCATGCACTGATAATTAAGATCATTTAGGCATATTTCCAGCTATATGATGTGCAATGATGTGCAAGTCGAATATATTGTAGCAAATAGCCACAGTAGTTCAAATGTTAGCCAAAAAATCAGACCCCATATCAGGGCGGGCACTGAGATTCGAGGCGAGAAATTCCATACAGCTGACGTCACCTCTACCATGATTCTGGTTGTGCGTTTTGATTGGTTGAGCTGGAAATGCACTAACATTTGTATCAATGAGAAGGTTCTGAGATGCAAATGTGACAAAGTACACATTGAATATTCATTATGCGCATGAGATCAGCCATATTGGGGGCTTCGGTCACGAAGTGGTTATCGCACTTGCCTTTCACCTCTAGGGCCGCAAGTTCGAATCTCAGTGAGAACTTCTCAATGTGACTCGAACCCAGTCCTCATGTGAAAAGAGTAAAAGTCAACGCTCTGCCGAAAGTCGTGGGTTTTCTCCGGGTACTCTGTGTTTCCTCCCACAGGGAAAGTTGACAGGGTGGGTTAGGCACATAGGTCTGGAGACAGATCATTAATGAGGTACGGACTAATAGTAGCTGCTCAAGCGCCATTTGTAAGCTCAAAGTCTACCTCGGTCTGCTTCACGTCAGTCCGGTTCTATCTATCTATTCATAATGTAACCAGTCACTCAAAAGCCCTATAGGGAGTGTGCTGTGAAATATCTGTATCATATTGAATTTCACAAGCAGTTACAGTGGACAACACATGCATTTCTAGCTCAACCATCAGAAGTGCCGGTACTACCAGAATCAGGGAATCCTAGAGGTGACGTCATGCAGCTGAATGGAATTTCTCGCCTGGAATCTCAGACCCTATTAAAAACTTTGATGTTTCAACTACTAAATTGCAGAGAAGTGACTTTCGCCCAAAAGGGAAATGTTGAACGGTATACAATTTCTATTGTAATCAGGGGCTCAGGGAGGTCTACATTTCAGAAACTACATGCAGTATTAAGCAATTCAAGGCATTAAACCAACCGTACAATAACAGCTTAAGATGAAGATACAACTTACCTTAGTTTGAATGTCTTCTTTAGTAGCCATACAGAATCGACATATTCTTAAGCAATTAAAACTTTCTGTGTAACCACCAATAGCATGTGAACCTAGGTTATCACTGGAAAAAGGCCCAATGCTACCTCGGAATACATTTTTAACATTGTCCACTTCTACAGTAATGCCATGATCCTGTATGAATTGCAAGAAGAAAACACTTACTGTAGTTACATTGAATTGACAAAAAATGATATCTTTTGGTGTCGATCTTAATCGAGGCTTCCAAAATCTACTCTTCCACTTGGACAGAAAGAAAATGTGAATTTCAACTCACATGTATAATATAATATAGTGTAACATTAATAAATTGATTTATATTTTTGCATACTCACAGATTCAAGACACTTTACATCATCCATAAAAGGTTGCAGAATCTTGTCAATTCCATACTTCTTTATCAATGGAACCTTACACAATGCAAATAGTTGGATGCTATTGATACGAGATCTGTAACATGGTCTCAAATTGCTAAGTATGAAGTAGAAACCACCTGAAATTTAACTACACAAGGTAAATTATGCCGGTACTGACTATATTGGGGGGGGGGGATGCAGTTTTGAACTAGGTGTTCTTCTTTGTTATTTTAATAATTAAAATTCCATGCATATACTACATACCTAACTTGTGAGTTTTTGTTTTTGATCCCAGTGGATTTGTCAGCTGAAATTCATCAAAGTATCCATGAAGGACAATTGATCTTGGTTCCTTGCCAAAAAGTGGGTGCTCTTTAAAATCCTGCCCATCGCAAAAATCTCTTAATAAACCATCCTTGCTTTCATGTGTGTTATAAATCTAAGAAAATATAATCTATTTAAATAAACACGATATGTGGTAAATCATTAAATCAAGTATTTACATAAACAATTACTCTGTCAACAATATTTTAATAGTCAATTATGTGTTCTTCTGACCAAATAAAATTATAATATGATAATAATAAATCTGTGGTAATTGAAGTATTAGGTTTAAACACGACTACAAATTTAATAAATATATAGCTACTGCTTGTTGGTATTCTTCATATAAATAATATACTAATGAGGACACAACTACAATGGATACTGCCTAATTAGTATTCTTTATATAAAGAATACTAATTAGGAGTGCTTTATCAGGTTTAAAGCCACTGTACGTGATATATTATGGTTGACATGTATTATTAATGCATGAGTGCTTGAATATAGTACAGTACCTCATCAAGAATGTCAGGATGGTTAAGTAAAGCTTTCAAGGTTTTCAGGATGGGAATATATTGATACGTTTCTTTGGTTTGAATCAACTTCATATGTCCATTTTGCATTATATATTCTGCTTTTTGGGACAACACAACACTTACAGGTTCCTGTCAAAAGAAATCAAATAATGGTTATATATACGGTCCTATTTTCTGATAAAAAGGCAAATCACTGCTGCATGGGCAATACCAATCTATTTACCAATTGAATATATGTCGATATATATAAATATTATTATATCAGAAATTAATATATCAGAAATTATTTAGTGGGGGGAGGGGCTATGGTCATTTTTAGTTTTCTTGTTTTAAGGTTTTTGGTACCGGGCCCTCCTTCATGGTTAGTTTTAGCGAGGAGAACCAACCAATGCTAACTTACATGAATACCACTGTGTCTTCGACCTGCTATAGTAGGCTAACACAGTTGTTATGTTTCGAGCCTTGTGCTTATATGTTGACATTTGTGTTGCACGCGTCATTGCATCCCTTTTGTCTCTCCTACTGCTTGTGTTTATTTCACTCATGTGAACTGGGCTTTAATATAATATACTTACTGATATATACTTAAGTCCTTGTCTAGTGCCAACGGTCAACATCCAAGCTTTCCAAATCAATGATTTCCCCTCCCTTTTACAACAATGCCCCCAACTCTGCATGCAGCTGTTTTGCAGCAAACATAACCACAACCACTGAGGCAGCCCAGACATGTATCAGTATATAGCAAAATTATATACATGTATACTGTAATTACAGTTGATTTCACATAACTTTTCCGTGAATGTTGCCAACTTAGTTCCGAACTTCGTTGTGAAGTTCAAAAGTTCATACTAAAATTCACAAGCCGGTTAGTAAACAAAGCCTCTAATTGGCTTATATTTGGGGGTTAAGGGACCAATCACAGGCTTTGTTTACAAACTGGCTTGTGAATTTCAGTATGAACTTTTGAACTTCACAACAAAGTTCGGAACGAAGTTCGCGACATTCACGGAAAAGTTATGTGAAATCAACTGTATAATTATTATACACAGTAAAATTTGTAATACATTTTATACTTTAAAATTATATTTACTTGCCTAATTGTACGTGATCGTCTTTTATTTATGGGCGTCACTTATGTGACTGTTATCATAGCTGACAGAAATTAAAGCAAAGGCCAACTTAATTCCAGTTTTCAAACGGCGACACAAACATGTAACTCAAAAAATATTCCCTTTAATTAAATTGCTCTGTTCTCGGTAAAAGTTTGCCATCTTCGAACATACAAGGGGCTGCCTCGTTCCCAGTCGCTTGCTATCAAATAATTAATTAGGAAAAGACGAAAATTAATGGGGCGCGCGGAATGATGGGAAGGGGAGGAGTCGTCTTCCCATTTTCCTTTGCGCGCTCGTCCTCAGTTGCGGGCGTGCGCCTAAAGGCGTGCGTCTTTATCGG